CAATGACTTCATTCATTTAGCAGCACATGACATATTCATGCTTCACGTATCGTTTATGTGCTAATGTATTTCATATATTCAGAGGGGGGTTGAGAAAACATGAAATCGACACAATATACTTCTCAAGAACAGAATGTAGATACTCTCTGCTCACACAAACAAGAAACGAAGAGGTGATATGGTTTGTCGAACTGATGTCACAAGTATTGAATTTTACAATTGTTACTGTGACACATTTGGAAAAAAATATCGACTCCCCACATGCACCATTTGATTACTTTAAAACTTTGGCACGTTTTACCTGAAACAAAAGTAAATATTCAATGGGGTACAGACGGGAAAACCGGGAAAAAGATGAGTTGTTATGTTAGGAATATGCATAAAAACGACAAATCCCTTTCAATATTCATAAGAAATCTCTGTCACGATTCCGACTATAGCATGAGCATTTGTTTATGAATGACTATCAAAGAGTGGTGATACCAGGTGTTCGTGTAAAGGTGACCTTGTAAAGGTATCCTGCCCCACCGGTGGCACCTGTCATAAAAGCATGCAAAGGCGAGGCAATTGTTCACCTGGAAAAACATGCCGGGAACATATTCATGTTAAACTGCGCATGGTATCTCAGTGAGCTAGCACTATAAATCGCCATCGGTCCGGACTAGTACAAGTAGCCACACAAACACACACGTGCATGCACGTCGCTATATAAGTGCAATAATCTTGGACGCAATGTTAAACCCCATTTCACCCCACCTTACCTCCTTATGCATTTCTACATGCCTTTCAAAGCCTTAATATGTTCACTATACTAAACATATCAAATATGTGTGCGAGAAGTGGCGTTATACAAGGTTGTACATGAATGTAATGTCCAGTTCTTATGATACTTTTTTATCTATGATTATTTATACATGAAATAAAAGCCTTGAGGTATATTTGTGAAAGATGATTTGATGAGATCAGGATATTACTGTTTGCGGATGATATTACCCTTACTAGTGATAGTGTAATCGAACTCCAAAACATTAAGTCACTAGTTTTAGTTTTTTCTTAATAATTATCTGCTAAAAGAAGAGTTGATTGCACTATTCCGACTATACCGACTATATAAAGAGCATGTGTGTAGGTATCACTATTAAATAGTGATAATAAAGTGAATATAAAGAGACTCAGTCTTTCCTTGGTTGTATTAACGATTATATTCTGGCGGGGGGAAAAGAAAGTTCACGCATAGCTGAAATCTGTTTTTCAAACTTGACTGTTATTAAAGATAAAGGCTTGAACTCAATATAATTATCATTGCTAACTGTGAATATTGACCTTACACTGATGTATTGCACCCGAACATAACATTTGGTGACTTGTCGCCAAAATACAGCATCTTGAAACCAAACTGGGAGAAATTGCATGGAGAAAACGCTGTAAGCATGCTGCACGTGCAAATGCGGCTACTTAACCTTTATACCGATGGGTATAAAGATTTGGCAGTCCTGCTGCGAATCACTCTCCGATGCTCTGTGTACGTGACTCTCATGATGCCAAGACTGAATGAAGACTGTAGAAACAGAGCCATTGGACGTCTGGAAGCTGGAGAAAGTCAGACATCAGTAGCCAGTATATAGTCATTTGTAAAATCATGACATGCAGCAAAATGCATATGTAAGGAATCATGTCTATAGTAATTTGTAATCCCACACAAATAATGACGACGTTTTCATGTTTTGAGAGAATCGTGACTGACGTAATTAAAAATTAACATCGTTTTTAGTTTCAACAAAATCAGAAAAGGCTCTGTCGAATCACTGGTCCCTTCACTTGACTACAGGCCACAGTGTGAGTGTGTTGTAGTTATGGCAAGACATGTTTACCCGTTTCGCGAACACCTGTCCTGTCCTACCTTGTTTCGGCAGATAATTAATAATCGAAACTGATTCTCTGGAGTTGACATAATATTCTCATAGTTTATGTACAAAAACATGATGAATTTTGCAGCAGCATAAGGTTTCTAATCCAGAAACACTCTCATATCAATATAATCATTCCCTATGCTATGAACTCAATACTACAGATAGATTTTGCTGGCTATAGAACTTGACCCGTGTGGGTTTTTATATTCATAAAGATGTGTTTGAGTTGCAATCCAAAATTCATAACGTGATGGCAGAGGAGCAGAACAAACTGAGGACATTTCATAATTCAATAATGAGCAGTTCAGCTAATATCATACATAACATCGCATGTACTTCGGGTGAATTCCTACCTTGTTCCAATTCCTAATTGAACTGTAGATGAAATCCGCCACCTTCCCGCCACCTTCCAGATACTGGAGGTCATCAAAACCATTCAGATGACACGCTCTCCGACCAATTTCAAAATTGAAGGATTTGCATATTCCATATAAAACATATTCAGTTGCACAGGAGAATAGAGATGAATTCTCGATGATCTTAAACGTTGATCCCACTAGATGTTTTCCATAATGAGGATCCGGCATACACGTGTCTGTGAACTGCAGCATACTCCAAAGTATCTGACAGCAAATGTACATGATTTCCAAATGCCCAGAGCAGTGAAAGGATATATATGACATAATTTCAGTATTGACACAATGGTAGGAATTTCTAAAATGTCGCTGAAGGGATTCACGTGAAAAGGTTAAACATACGACGCACCGCTTGTTTGTCTGTCTCTCTGTCAATGAGCATGCATTGAATCCAAGGGTGGCATCATGGGAATAAATTGCTTATTCTTTTTGAGACTATACGCAACCTTTGAGAAAACTACCTCATGAAATATCAATCAAAGGCTCCCCACCATGCTCATCGATGAAATTGAACAGTTCTCTGAGAGATATAGAAGGCGAGACTCGACTGGATGGTGTTTTTTTTTCAAATCAGCAGTTGTTGCAGCCAGTGTATTTCAAGCAGATTAGATCCAAGAGTGACTTGCAGGATGAGTTAACCATTGTCCTATGACCCTTGTCCCTGCAGCACTGTACCTATAGGTCATGGATTTCACCTTTATTGCGGGTGGCACGGGGGGCACAGTAGTCTAAAGCGCCGCAATTCGTTGTGCAGAGTTGTGTCCCTTTGACACGCCAGAAATCTATGACCTGCATCACTTCGGGCTTTCCTCCCACTTTAAGCGGACACGCCGTGATATAACTGGAATACTGTTAAAAGCGGCGTTAAATCCAATTCACTCACTCACCGGGATCTCGATTGCGCCTCCTGCCGAGGGTTAGGTTGTCTTATTGTTACTACTTATGTACGTTAGAGCAGAGCTAAAGGCTATGATCATTTGGCGTTCGTCCTTTGGGTCACTTGTAGTACAATTATATACCGGTGATATAGTTCCTCAAACCAATACACAGTATTCAACAGTGCCGCTCGAGCTGCAGATTCTTCAATATTTACGCCTGGGCTAAGAGGCGAATTTGTCGCTTTCTTTCTAATATCTACTTCCATCGTTGAGCAATTAATATTTACGTGATTTGAACCTTTATTTATTTTCCACTTAGGCCGCTATGGAAGAAAATCGGTTGAATTTAGTCATTTTTCTTCCACCCTCTGCTGCATATGTCATTGTATTTTGTCGCGTTGTCATCTCTCACATATTGTTAAACATTGTTGCAGCTTATAAAAGGCTCGTTTTAAATATGGAAAAGTGAAAATTCTGTCGTGTCTGGTTACCAGAGAAATACGCAGAGAAATATTTTGTTACAGCACTTCAAGCGGTATATTTCTCCATTGCCATCCGATAATTGTGTAACAGTTGTGGCTCCAACAACTGTCCTCACATATGTTTATATATTGTGTGTGAGAAAGCCCTTTGAAATGTGGTTCTGGTAAGTATGTAAGTATAATGTGCCCTTGCGGTACATCCGATAATTGAGCTGTAAAGGTATGAATATGAGCGACATAACTAAATACGTCTTCTATTGGGGCTGACGCAACGTAGAACAGCCACTATACCGGTTATAATCGTGATGTTACTATGTATACCTACAGTAGAAAGGACAGAAAGGACATTGAAATGTGATTTCAGGAAATGAATAACGTGGCCTTGCGTCACATCCGATACCCACTTTCCGTTATGCCCTCATTTATCTCTCTCTCTCTCTCTCTCTCTCTCTCTCTCTCTCTCTCTCTCTCTCTCTGTGTGTCTCTCTCTCTTTCTTTCTCTTTCCCTCTCTCTCTCCCTCTTCCTCCCTCCAATTCCATCTTAACAATGTTAATGTTTCAGCCTCCAACTCCCTCTTAACTATGTTAATGTGTCAGCCTCCAACTCCCTGATAACTTTGTTAATGTTTCAGCCTCCCACTCCCTCTTAACTATGTTAATGTTTCAGCCTCCAACTCCCTCTTAACTATGTTAACGTTTCAGCCTCCAACTCCCTCTCTCTCTCTCTCTCTCTCTCTCTCTCTCTCTCTCTCTCTCTCTATCTTTCTTTCTCTCTCCCCCTCTCTCTCTCTTCCTCCCTCCCATTCTCTCTTAACTATGTTAATGTTTCAGCCCCCACTCCCTCTTAACTATGTTAATGTTTCGGCCTCCCACTCCCTCTTAACTATGTTAATGTTTCAGCCTCCCACTCCCTCTTAACTATGTTAATGTTTTAGCCTCCCACTCCCTCTTAACTATGTTAATGTTTCAGCCCCCACTCCCTCTTAACAATGTTAATGTTTCGGCCTCCCACTCCCTCTTAACATTGTTAATGTTTCAGCCTCCCACTCCCTCTTAACTATGTTAATGTTTCAGCCTCCAACTCCCTCTTAACTATGTTAATGTTTCAGCCTCCAACTCTCTCTTAACTATGTTAATGTTTCAGCCTCCAACTTCCTCTCTCTCTCTCTCTCTCTCTCTCTCTCTCTCTCTCTCTCTCTATCTCTCTCTTTCTTTCTCTCGCCCTCTCTCTCTCTCTCTTCCTCCCTCCCATTCCCTCTTAACTATGTTAATGTTTCAGCCTCCCACTCCCTGATAACTATGTTAATGTTTCAGCCTCCAACCTGTACCAGTTATGGAGACTGTCATGTGGCGACCTCTGAGCTATGGTGGAGTGGGGAATCGAACCCGGGTCGTCTGCTCGACGGGCGAACGCTTTAACCACTGGGATACCCAACCGTCCCACTAGTAAGTCTGGTTGAGGGTAACATGCCGCTATATTATAGCAGTACTACAGCAACATTCAGAAACTCAATCCTGATGTGCAGGCATCAGTGTCGAATTTGGCAATTCGGAAAGTATCTAACGCAACCATTAGCTGTGCAGAGCATTCCCATAGCCGGATGGTCACGGGTTCGAATTTCAAGACACATCGCTAAATGATTATTACCTTACTTGGTGCAATATCCCACATTCAGCCGACATGCTGTGATATATACTTATTGGAAGAAATATGGGATCGCTTGAGAATTTGGGAACAGTTCATGTCTACACTCAATGATACTTGAAACCGCCAGATGTATTCAGATCATCCTCAAGCATAAACGCCGTGTTTATGACCATCGTGAGCAATTACCAACAGGCAATTAAGGTGAGAGATAAAGGGATCGACCTGTGACCCTCCAGTGATAAGCTGCAGGATGACTGTTGATCAGAAACCTCTATGTTTAGAGTGATATGCTATTCCTTATGGGTATGTTACTTAACAGTTGTTTCTTTAAATACATGTCATGAAATGAAAGCTTAGTTTCAACAATTTTCATCAATATGATTTTCATTTCTCAGATAGTTCTACCTATGGAATTGGCCTTGTACGCTGCGCCGTATACGTCATGAAGGATTACGATTGCTATTCGGCAAGGGAAGAATCAGAGTGTGCATATCTGTGGGAACTATACCTATTCCAGCTCGAATACAACGCCTTCTTTAAGCGTTGTATCGTCAGCGACGTAACCGACCTCTCCGTTGTATGGAGCTCAGGCTGTGGATCCCAAAATGGCGTACTTCCAAAGTAACTGTGATTAAACACAGGCTTGGTGTCCAAACAATTTCTATATTTACACGTAGATGTCTTTAATAATAACGTTGTCCCCTGATACCGAATTCAAGGGTGTATCTGCCACATGGGTGTACCAACAGAGAAAATGTTTTTAAAAAACCGATTTGGTGTGCAAACAAAATCAACATTTACTGCAGATGACTTTAGGACTGCAGGAAAATACGACTGTTGTTTAGTTTACCTGTGAATATCCTGAAATGGCAACTTCACTGACCAATTAATCTCTCAGCTCGTTGATGCGTCGTAGATTTAATAACTCACTCTCATACTGTATGTTCCCTCACCTCACCATCTGTGTATAGATCAACGAGATGAGGATCGTACACAATCCATCGTCCATACTTCAGGTCCATGCTATCAACCGTGACCAAGGCAACTGAATACCCCTTGCGTACCATCAACTCATCAAAGACCCCCATCAGTCATAATCCCTTTGTTTATACTATTGACTTCACTTGTTAAGATGTTTTCCTTACATCATCCCTTTTGTGTACATAACAGGCTTCTCCACTCCAGTATAGATACATCCCAATCTACTCTACTGTATACAAACTGCCTCATACCTGCATATATGCTTGTCAAACATACTCTGTACATCACATTCTTGATAGCATCAGGCAGCTTTGATTCCTTCAATCCGACTTTGATTAGTCTCAGTAAGTGCGGATATGTTGAGATAATGAATTCTGGAAAAAGGAATGGACGTTGCACACTGACTGTCCGCCACCGAGAAAGCAGCCCTAGATTTGTTGAGATGAGAGACAGAGAGAGAGTAGATCAGACGTTTCAGTCTCGATAGCGTTGAGCATGTTGGGATGGTTCAAGAGGTGCCCTACCTCGGCACATGTCAATGAATTTGGTTTTTGTCCAGTTTGTAGGGGCTCAATCAAGTTCATCTGGGCAGCCGTCAGAACCTCTGAGGTGCACACTGAGGAGTCTAAATGTGCTGAAATTAGTCCAGATGGGGCTATGAATTCTACCATAGCTTCGATAATGTTTTTAGGGATCAGTTAAACTCCTTTTGGTGTTGACTTTAGTTTGTTATTTATTGTACCTCACATGAATCGCTACAATTTAGAAATTACGCTTTACGCACACAAAAACGATGTTGTTGTAGTTGTTGTTTATTTGCAGTTAATAAATATGTGATGGCATCGGTAGTAGGGTTTGTCATTTGACGACATGTGTCTCAACTGTGGCACCTGGTGTCAGCGCACTAAAAGTGTTATGTGTAAGTATTGTAGTTGCAGCAGAAATTGTTGCAAATGTAGGTGGAGTAATTATTAGTGGAAGCAAATGATTGACCGCCCAATAAAACTATCAATTGTTAGCAACTGGCTGTCAAGGAATTAAAATTTTAAAGGAATCAATATCACAAATTGTTACAAAGGTCACTTGAGTTCACCCTGGATAGTGTCTTTGACCCAAAACACCAATTTACTTCATTGTATAAATGGGTACGTAAGTATGTATAGTGACTACTTCGCGCCTAAGATATTTAGATGAGGTACACTTTATATATCATTCATATTTGCACAGCTATCCGAACTGAAACACAGGTGTTAACCCAGGTATCAAAGTCGCACTTGGAAAGTGGATTAGAAAAAAGTCTGGAATTGTCCTCTTGTTGCTCTTATACAGAGAAACCGCCCTATCCAGATACTTCTCCAAGTAGCATGCCTGTTATGTTCATGCATTCCACAAGGACAGATAACTCTGTCGGCAACGACTTACGCGAAGACACAATCTATATTCCCTGGTCATCCAGAACGAATTTGTTTTCTTGATACAATGCGTGTATTTGAGTGAATTTACGTGTTGTGAAATCCTGTTTATTCGGAAGGAACTATTCCCAGTGATATCATCAAGATTATTGAGATTTCATTGCACATCAATATGTGTAAACGTGGACATCCACCACAAGACTCGTGGTCTTCTCTCTAATCCACTATGTAGTACGTTCTCACATACATATGTAACGCATATTATCTCAATATCAGTTGCAAGGCAAAATTGAATGTCATATGGTTTGAATGCACATGTAATGCAAGACTAATGTCAAAGTTGATATTTGAAATGATAAGGTATGGAAAGTATTGCATGAATGGTATGATCAACTAATAGGCAGGGAGAATTCAAACAAATAAAAGCGAGAAAGACCATTTTCATACTCATACGAAATCTCCACTTAAAGTCGATTGTACGATTCTGACTTTATCACAAGCACGTGTTTTGTTTATGATTATCAAGTGTTCTTGGCTGATAAAGGTATTGAATGTATTAAAGGCTTTTCATGTAAAACAAATATTATCATCATATGGTTTTGGTTCTGTCGGGTGTAATCAAGATGTTCCAAATGTAAATAAGTTTATTGTTTGTTTTAAGCAAAGATGTATAGATATAGACCAGCAAACTTGGTTAAGTAAATTAAAAACATTTTCCAAACTTGAAATGTATTCACAAATTAAACCATGCATTGTACTAGAAAAATATTTAACATCCATACCTGTTAGAGTATAATTTGCTCTTAGCTCTTTCCGTTGTTCTAGCCATACCCTAATGCTTGAAGAAGGTAGAAAAATTTGTCTTTCTGGAGATGAACGCTTATTCCATGTTGTGTAGTCAGTGTAATTGAAACTGAGTATCATTTTTGCATTGAATGTCAATTTTATTCAGATCTAAGAAATAGTCCTATGCCTAATTATTACCATTCACAACCTTCATTTGATAAAGTTTGCACTCTTATGTCTTGCCAAAATGAACATGTTATTAATAAACTAGCTATATATATTTTTCTTTCTTTTAAGAAACAACAATAGTTTTTTCAAATGTATGCAATAATTCAGTTGTTTCACTATGTATATCACTTGTATTATCTGGCGCCTGCTATTGTTGTAATGCCCTGTATCCATATTGTATAATTGGTCGGTGGCCTCTTTACTGACATAAACTCATTCATTCACAAGCACGTGTTTAGGAATCAGAATGAAATAGTTATGATACCAGGTGTTCGCGAACAAGTGGGTTTATCCTGCATGTCTGATGGCATCCGTCACATACACAGTTGTTCAACCGAAAAAGGACGGGCCCATATGCCAAAAGTCAAAATAGTCAAGTGCATCAGATACATTTTTGACAGAGATTTCGAACGCTCGAGCATGTTGTGAAATGTAGACACCAAAAACTGCTGCTTAATTATTGCTCGACATGGAAAGTTGACAATTGGAAAGTTGACAATTGGAAAGTTGGAAGTCATCCCTCTTGTCAGACAGTCTGGCGAAGAGTAATTTGTAAATTTGGTTACTCTGAATACTTTGGCACATGTCTAAATATGAAACAGGGGCGGTTTCATTGGTCACCTTTAATTCTATATATGGTGGGATAAACAGTAGAAGGGAAATAACGATACATCAACACATTTCTTAATATGGCATAACTCGTAATTACACATACTCCTATGTATACAGATATTGCAGATACATGGACATGTTTAAGCACAGCATATGTTTCGTTTGTATTTTTCAGAAATTCCCAAATAAACTTTATGCTCCCATTTGTAATTGGCGGGAAAATATACCCAATGTATTTAGCATATACATGTGACATACGAATCGTCAATCAGACGCAGTATTCGATTGCAGTCAGGTGGATTAATTCCTCCAGTGCCATTAGAAACGGATATACATTATAATTATACTTCATACAACTTCGGTAAGTGTTAGAATAATAAACAAGAAAACTTTTGATGACACGACGACAAACTCACGACACATAATTAAACTCATTTTAACTTAATTCAACTAATTTATAGCGTTATTTAAATATTTCGCCCATTTTCCTTTCCTCAAAAAAGGTGTATCTACAAGTACCAGAAGACATAATTCAACTCATTTTCAACTAATTCATGTCGTTATTAGAATATTTCGCCAACGTTTGGATTACTGATCACATATCTGTTTCGAATATTTTACACAACATCATATTTTTTATAATGGAGTATTTTTACAATAAAATATTCTCCCCGAAATATTGAATCAAGATATTCAAACGAATTATTTCGAAATTTGTCAAAGAAAACTATGGCTCTAGCAAACCGTACACTAGAAGAACGCTGTCGTATAAATATCAGCATTACATACTTACAGAAATTGTTACTGAAAAATTAGGATAACACGTCCCATTTTAGTTCTGGAAACCCATTTGTCCAGAGAATTCTCCATGCTGTCGGTCAAAGGTATTTCAGAAATTCATGATGCTGTTTTCATGGGTACATAGTCAGTAAGAAAAAAATGAAAAAACATTGTTTCGAAACTCAAAATTTATTTATCCATGTCGTCCATGGTGGGAATGTTTCCTTTGCTCAAAACTGATGTTTTTGTTTTTGTAAATACATAAATGTGTGTCTACAAGTATCACGACACATAATTAAACTCATTTTAACTTAATTCAAGTATTTAATAGCGTTATTTAAATATTTCGCCCATTTTCCTTTCCTCGAAAAAGGTGTGTCTACAAGTATCATAAAACATAATTCAACTCATTTTAAACATTTTCAACTAATTCATGCCGTTAATAAATATTTCGCCCACGTTTGGACTACTGATCACATATCTCCTTCGATTATTTTATACAATATTATATTTTTTATCATAGAGTATTTAGAAAATAGAATTGCCATTTTAACAATGATAGTTATGCTCATGATACATTTACCTTTAATTTTGGTGATTAATTTTCTGTTTATTTCTTCTTCTTTGTTGTAAAAGGAATGGTTGCAAATAAACATATCAGTCTTATTTGTTGCTTGTCTGTTTTTTGTACCGCCAATCACCCTCGATTATCCAGTGTATTACACGTGTATCTTGACTGAGATAAATACCCCTAACCAATTCACTGCCATAGTTTCCTTTTCGGTCCGATTCGGATGTCACGACACTAGTAATAGTTGCCAATCACATTGCATTCATGAGTAAAACAATTTCTGTGCAAAGTTACTTATAACAGAGAGAAATATAATAACGTCACCTCCGAAACAAAGTTGTGGCAGAGAATGGACCCAGGATATTTGCTTTTTTGGAACGTATTATCAACTCGATACTTAATCAAGGATGACATTAAGATTCAGAGTCATAAAACACTCACCACAAAACTATGACAAGAGGGATGAATTCAGCTTTCCAAAAGTCAACTTTCCCTTAATGTCGAGCAATATTCCAGAAGCTCCAGGCTTTCGTGTTTACATTTCACGTACAATCGAGTATGCCCTTTCTACCAAGATTTCAAACATCGTCATAAGTCTCTTGCTCAGAAGTTGTTTGACCAAGGTTACAATACTCAAGGCCTCAGTAAAGTTTTCAAAGGGTTTATCGTAGACAAGTGGGTGACATTTCCAAATTTGACGCATCAGTGACAAATATTGATGTTCGATGCAATTCCCTATTTTGAAATGTACCATTTGTCCCCGTGCTTTTCAGGACTTGCCCTTGCATGTGTCTGTGACAGGTGTCACCGGTGTGGAAGGATGCGCTCACCTCTTTCGCGAACACCTGGTATCATCACTATTTGATAGTGATTTATAAACACATGCTCATGATGTAGTCGGAATCGTGAAATCGACTCTGCGTTTAGCAGAGAATTCTTTATTTCAATGGGAATAATCGGTAACTTGGTCGATGTATACAGATACTTGGAAACGATATTACTGGAAGTTATTTATTTAACCAATCGGAAGTTGTAATTGTGTACTCATAAATGATGAATAACATTATTATATTGTACATCAATTGTGTCAGCAAATGAGATACCATTACACGGCGGTCAGTTCCAGTTCCATCTGCATCATGAATAACATCAAGCGTTATTGTATCTATTGTTGATTTAGTATTCAAGTATCTCAAATATCATGTCAACGTTGCTTCGTCGATCGTTCTGATTGGTTTCGACACAGAGAGAGACTAGTGTTTCACAAACGTTTCTTACCACCGGTGGGGCAGGATACGCTAACTTGGTTGATGCATTTGCGTGGATCGATGTTCATGATATTAGTCACTGGATTGTCTGCTTCAGACTTGATTATTTACAGACCGCCGTCATATAGCTGGAACATTGCTGAGTGTGACGTTAAACAACAAACTAACCAACCAACCAACTTGAAAATACTTGTCAAATACTGTTTCTTGTCGACTTTTCAAAGACCTTCGATTGTAAGCAGCATTCTCATGTGTGGTACTCATTCACTATAATATTCAAGGAAACATTTTAACGATACCCACCACTAGCTAGCAGAGAAAATTGTCCTAGGAACAGAATCGGGTTTTTTTATGAAGTTGGGAAAGGTGGACCACTTCGAAGCAACGAAAAATGCTATTACAGAGGACTTCAAATAAACATCGTTTCCTGCTATAAAAAAATGGATTGTACTTTACTTCGATACTGGTCTGGGCAGAAAGGCTACACGTTCGTTCAAATCAAGCAGAAACAAATATGTTTATTAATCTACAAACTACACTGTAGTTATGGAGGTTTACCTAATACTTGGGGTTTAGCATCAAAACATTTTGATAGCATGGGACTTCCAATTTCAAGATATGGAGCAGACCCTTGAAGATGTAAACCTAAAATTATTAGAAGAGGTATACACGCTGTGGGAATGTGGACGACATAAATAATATACAAAGTGCCTTCTGAAGTCTATTAAATATTAGACAGAAGTAATCAACAAAACTTTATCATCCAAAACTTGCTCCCACAGGAGATATCGCTTGGATGAGATGAAGCTATATCTACACTGTAGATATCGCTGCAATGAAATTACATCACAATGCTTTGCAGACCATTGTGACATCACTGGTTACCATGACGTCACAATCAAATGACATCACTAATGGCTCTGCTACTGAAGCTGTCAGCAGTACTTTTTACACTGAAGACACTGCTAATTACTGTCTCCAAATTGAAAAAGTTGGAAGAATGATGTTGGATGATAAATAAAATCTCACCCTCGTGTCTTTTGACATCAAATATATCAACACTCGTTGATAAAAGTGGCAAAAATCCTCGGCAAGCCTCGGAATTTTTCGACTTTTATCGACTCCTGTTGATATATTTGATATCAAAAGACGCTCGGGTGAGATTCTCTAATATTCAACTACCCTAACAAACATATATGATGTTTGGTCCAGGCGAAGCAGGAAGAACATGGGTCACCACTATTAGGACATTCTATTTCAATATGGTAATGGAATATACGTGAATGTTCCAGGGAGACTATTGATCTACTTCAGGTGCGGAGTACCCAGTACAACAGCATCAAGTCTTTTTGGCCTCAATTACATATGTAGGAGAAATTTGGGGGTGTAAAACAAAATTATTAAAAGAGGTACCGACAAAATATTTCAATAGAATACTTTATCTTGGATTTTTCAGGATGCAGACAACATCAATATAGTCTTATCTGAATTCAAGCAACGAGTGATCGACTCAGAAACACACAGATGGCATTTCCCTACTTGCTCTAACTCAAAATTGTTCGTGTGTGCTACTTTCCAGTCAGCTTTCAATGTGGAATCTTATCACTCTCAAATAGATGAAATAATCTTCAGACAAGCGCACACAAAGTTCAGAAGCTCATGCCATAAGGATTGAAGCTGGTCGACATTGTAATATGGATTAGCAAAATCGAGTTTGTGCCTAGTGCCTACGTTTTGAAAAATATATTACAGAAAATCCCTTTTACTAGAATGCGAAGCTTAGAAATAGACGCAAAAAAAATTTAATCAGTTTTTGTTATCATGTAAATCAAGTAACTTAGCTTTGTAAAATTTTAGATTTTGCTTTGATAATTTAATATGCAATTTCCAAGAGTGTAATCAACCATATATATGCAATGTTTCTTCAAATCACTACATTGTACAATATATTGTGCATGTATATCCAATGGGATAATAACATTCAGCAGTAATTCGCTAAATGGGTTTATAGGCAGCATTTATTTTACATCTCACCATGTATCCACTCTATAAGTAAGTCTACCTTTAACAGGCAAAATTCACCTTGCACATGTAATCCCCCATTTACTTCCGTGTTCATCAGCAACCGGCAAGTACGTCACTTCCGTGCATTCACGTGCCCTACGTCACTTTCTCTGCCCTACGTCACTTCCTGCCACCAAAGCGTCGTGCTCACTGTCGGTATTCTTTTTTAACGCTTGCCAATTCCCACCCTCCCTTTCCCTAGGGAAACTCATACATTGTACAGTTTCCTGTATAATTCATGTACATATCACGGTTCATACAAAAAACTAGGTGCGGTGGGCATGGTACCCGAGGGACAGCACATTTATAAATAACAAATGAACACTGGGTTCTTGGCTACTGTTTCCGCGGGAGGGAGAGCAAAGATCCCAATCCTATACCTGTCTGCCATTCCACAACTATATGCCACCCACGCATACTGTCCCATCGGCGCCATCCACACCGCGCCCTATTTTCATCCACAATCCTCTTTATCTCATTTATTACATTATCCTTCTGCTAAACTGTATCGCATGCTGCCATACAAATATCACCATAAATGTCTGTATATAATGATCTGAAACTTCATGAATAAATTTAATCTACATTACCGCATGCCATTATGGAACTTCTGTTTGAGTAGTTTTTCGATGTTGCATGCCTGAATTGTGTTGATATTCAATTATGCACACATGGTCATGAAATTATCTTTTTTTCTATATATAACGTTACTGTTGACAGCGATATCTTTGGGAAGGCATTGATTGTCGGTAACCTTCTGGACTTATAGAGTTGCGTCCCTTCGATACGATGTTCCATGAAGTGCAGATTTGTCCAGGAAGGTAAACCAGGATTTGTATCCCACATTAAGGTGAGGTGAGGTGAGGTGAGGTGAAATAGGGTTTAACGTCACGTCCAAGATTATTGCACTTATATTGCGACGTGCATGTACGTGTGTGTGTTTGTGTGGCTGCTTGTACTAGTCGGGACTGATGCCGATTTATAGTGCTAGCTCACTGAGATACCATGCCGCAGTTTAACATGAATACCCCACTCAGACACAGTATACTGACTCCGAGCCGACCAGTCCTTGTTTTAGCCCCTTAATGCCGAGCGCCAGACAGGGTAACAACAAGTACCATCTTTTAACGTCTTTTGGTATGACGCGGCCGGAGATCGAACCCCGGACCTTCCGCTCTCCGGGCGGACGCTCTACCACTAGACCACGGAGAAGGTCCATTAAGGCTAATGTAGTAAGCGTGTGTAACAACAACAGAGCAAACTGTTACATTAAACAAATTAAATGGAATTACAAATTTGCAAAAATACAAATATATTTATTCTCAAATAACACAAAAACATACACTTGTCAGGACAATGATATTAAAAGGATCTACGATAAAACATAATGTCAATACATCACGGCCCTGTTTTTCCTAACATTCATTAACAAATAGACTCTCGAACACATACAACGAATCATTTCAAAATAATAAATTATACAAAACTGCATAAACAAAGTACAAAAATATCAAAAACATAACAAAATACACAAGATGGATTTGCAGAATACATATTCCGCAGTCCGTTCTACACACACTGGCCATTGACTTCTCTGAGACCGCTGCAGCATCTACTGGATGTGTAACACTTCACGTACCTAGGGAATGATAATGTGGATGTAAACGTTTCAAGTCTCGAGCGCAGCTGAAAATATGCATCTCTATACCTAGAGTGAGTGAGTGAGTAAGTTGGGTTTAACGCCGCTTTTAACATTATTCAAGTTATATCACGGCGTGTCAGCTTAATGTGGGAGGAAAGCCCGAAGTGATGCATGTCTTAGACGTTTACAACTTCAGTGAAACCCACCAGCACGGGTTTGGTGCTGACAAACCTAGAAACATAATTCGGGCGAATCGGGATTCGAACCCACAATCATAGGTTTCTGGCATGCCCAAGGGACGCAACTCTGCAGAGCGAATCGCGGCGCCTTAGACGAGTGGGCCACCCGTGCCCCCCTCTATACCTAGAAACAATCTAATGTTTTCAACAGAAATTCAACCTGCATCAACAGATATTGTCCGAATGTCGTTATTCAAGTTTACAATAAGTTTGGGGTTATAGGATTCGTTACATGGCATTATTCGTTGTATCTGAATTCGTTATATCGGATTATATTCGTTATATTGGTCGCCTGTACAGTGGACTAACACTTATCTCTGAAATATATATAATTCAACAAGCAATTACATATAAAATGAAAAGGAGTTCCAGTTAGATGGTAGATTCAGAAAATCTAGACATGCGCTATTGATGGCTATAGCATTACAGCAAAGGTTAGGCGAAAGGGAAAATAATATTGTTCAGGGACTGAGACAGACGACCTGTACAGTGAAGTAGTAAAACGCGTGTACGGTGATGTTGGTAAACGCTTTTCCCAAGACTGATCATGACGGTGCACGAAAACACATACTGACCAAAAACGTACGTTGATTAGCTCCGTTATTATTCTGTGTAGTTATATATTGCAACTTACCTAATACAATACTTCTTCCTGAACCACCAGCCTCCGCATCTGTACTTCTGTGTACACGCTTTGGACACAGTAATCGGGCTGGAGCACGCCTGTTTGTTGCATACCTGACTTTGCTTGCTCGGTCCACTAGAAGTGTAAAAAGAAGAAGCGGCATAACATCTCAACAGTTCAATATGCGATGTCGATAAATCGGCTCTCTGACTATTTTAATATGTTTAAAGAGATTCGGTGTATGATTGAGTTGGATTTGGCCTGTTCGGGAGGATCAATGTGTTTGTTCAAAATGATAGCGAAGTGTTATCTTCCCTGGATAGTTTGTTCTTCCCAGTGAGGAAAGAGGAAACAAAAGCTTGGCGTCCTGGTCATTTTGAAGAAAAGGTTTCTGATATGAACAATGAGATTTTGTGATGGCCTAAAATATCTGTTTTATGTCAAATGGCGATCTTGATTTGTTGTTTAACGCCGCACTCAGCAACATTCCAGCTATATAACGGCGCCCTGTAAGTAGTCGAATCTAGACAAGACAAACCAGTGATTGATAGTATGAGCAATGACCCACGCCGTCGGGGTAGGTGGACACACATTCAGCCACGTCACCGCGCCATTAAGTGACGACCGACCCATTAAGTTGCCGCTGGCGCCGAGTATAGGTTACCAGTGACGAATTCTAACGAGACAGACCCGTGAAGATCCGGAGTAGAATAGGTCTTCAGCAACCCATGCTTGCCATAAAAGGCGACTATGCTTGTAGTAAGAGGCGACTAACGGGATCGGGTGGTCAGGCTCACTGACTTAGTTAATGCATGTCATCGTATCCCAATTGCGTGGATCGATGCTCATGACGTCAATCCTGGATTGTCTGGTCCAGACTCGATTATTTACAGACCGCCGTCATATAGCTGGAATGTAGCTGAGTGCGGCGTTAAATAACAAACAAAAAAACACACACACAAATGTAGCTGGGCACACCCCAGGGGGCATTACGTACTTGCAGGGAGGTTTTAGGCAGGTCCTGGTTCTAGTCCTTGTTCCACAACCGCCACATGTCTTGGAACAGCCAGACCAAGATGACCACGCTGCCCACTCCTCTGCAAATTAAAGCGACGTTGTATATTCATACGATCAAACGTATGCGTGTACATATAGTTCTATTAATTTGGTATTTCTACTGAATGAAAGAAAGTCAAGCTTTGTAGCGAGAAATTACGAACCATTCTTTGATAGCATTCTCATCAAATCAGTGTGATAACACGTTTTTGCGCATTGTCAAAATCTAATTGTTTTTCATAATACACATTTATATGCCTCACATGTCTCAGAATGTAACTCAGCTCTGGGCAAAATATAGTATACACTTGAAATTTGGATTTGACCCAAACAATTACAAAGGTTATCAAAACGTTATCAAAGGTCTAAAAGGCAACTAACTATATGATACCCATATAAAATGCATCACATCGATTAACCATTTCCTCAACGATTGGTGTATACTTTCTTTTGCTCGACAGTTTACACTCCAGTTGTATCACCAATACTTTGTTATGGTCATCAGGCAATTTGTGATGGTGTACATTTATACATATTTATATGACATGCCAGTACGATACTCACTGTAGCAATAGCTGCCGACAAGTTTGAATCCAGAACAGCACGTCTTCACTTGTTTGTAACATGTATTTGAACGATATCTGTAGAAAAGGGAAGAATCCTACAGTTGCAGATACATACTCCAGCTGCCGTAGATTATTATGTAATATTAAAACACGAATGCGCTTGAAGATACATTTAATGAGGAATATTACAGGCCACTGATTGTGTGAAATGAAATGACATAGGTTTTGTATTTGCCGAGCTAAAACGTGGAATATATAGATTAATTCTGTTGAGTTCCGAAAATTCAGTGAAAGAAACATACGAACTCCATAAGCTATTTTCTATAACACATAGTTATATGACAGACAATTGTAGAAAACAGACTTTGTCTTTTGCTGAGAGGACCCAGTGTAGAAGTAAACGAGTGCAGCCATGACGTCATAAATGACTGCGTCTTCAGTATTTACTATAACATCATTAAACTCTTATCAACAATGATGTCTACATTATCAACATCGATGTCTGCATTATCAACATCGAAGTCTTCACTTATCAACATCGATGTCTGCACTTATCAGCGATGATATCTACACTTATCAATATCGAAGTCTACATTTATCAACAATGATGTCTACATTATCAACACGGATGTCTACACTTCTCAGCAATGATATCTACACTTATCAACAATGATATCTACACTTATCAACAATGATGTCTACACTTATCAACAACGATATCTACACCTATCAACAATGATATCTACCCTTATCAACAATGATGTCTACACTTCTCAGCAATGATGTCTACACTTATCAACAATGACATCTACACTTATCAACGTCGTTGTGTGCACTTATTCGGTGAAACCTCGTTAACCCAGAAACCCCGGGAACCCAGATTTCCCGTAATAGACTTTCACTGAAGTATGCTTCACACTAACCTGGGGCATTTCTTGAGCCAGAGAAACCCACATCTGACGTAATACACGCCTTTGCACTGATACGGTTGTGTGTCCAGACAAGCAGAGCCCAAGGTACTGGTCGGAGTACTACACCCACCACAAGACTCTGGAACGCAATGTCATGAGGTTTCAGGCCAATTCTACCATGACTTTGGAACATGCATGTACATGTGAGAAGTTTAAGACAATATTCTTACTTGATCGCCCATTTCGCATTATGATATTAACAAATGTGGGTTTTACAATGTTGCGTTTCCCAGTTCTTCTGGAACATAGCATTGGCATCAAAATACATTTCTTAGACAGATGAAATTCAACGTAGACAGTTTGTTACTTACGCTTATAATGGACATCGGAGATCTCAATATAGACAGTGTTAGTCTTTAATCATTATTCAGGAGGTTTGCATTATATCTGACAAAGGCCTGCGTTTCTTCAAGGTTCTTATCGCTTCTTGGTTATGGAATATTGTAAGGAACATTATCGCGTTCTTGGCTTTTGGAAACTAGCTAAATAGTCAACCAGTGCGAGAATGCAAGATCCCGCGATTTGACCAACTGTTGCGTTCTCGTGATCTTGAATTCTCCCTATTTATATTCAACTTGTTTCCAAAAAATTAAGAACGCGAGAATGTCCCTTGCAGTATTCCATACATAGTTGAGCAGTTGACATAGTTAATAACAGTGTTTTAGGACAATGGCCGCGCTATACATGTACGGAGACGTCATCAAGATTAACTTACCTATCTTGTACCTCAATTTAAATCCTTTCAATCCGCTACCTGAATTTATTCTCATCAGCAACAGCATCTCGTTACCATGAGAACGGAAATATTTGGTTGGTTTAGAGTTACAACAGTACCTAAAACAGAATATGAAAATATGTCAATTTATCAGTGAGTGGGACAGACAGATTAACAATATTTGATAATAATGTTTCTAGTCCTGCAGAAACCATTAACATTCTTCGTCTCTAACAATAAATCCAGTTAAAACAAAAATCTTACGACGAAAGTGAAAAGATACAGACACATATCTGTGAAACAATTGAAATCGCTTATTATAATAATCAAAGGTTCCTTTTGACGAAAATACAAACAAGTATTATGTGGCCACGTAGGTCTCTTTGGCACACTTTGTGACTTTAACTGAGATTTTTTATCTGTGCCTTCAACTGAGATCGTATATCTGTGCCTTAACTGAGTTCTATATGTGGCTTTAAATGAGTCATATATTTTGCTTGAACAGAGATCTTATATATGTGCCTTTAACTGAGATCGTATATCCACCTGTTCCCCAGCGGCACCCGGGAAAGAAAAGGTCGCTAGCCAGACAATATCGTAAGTGACGATTAAATTTGATCGGAAGTTCAGGCTCTTTAATTTGGTTTAATGCATGTCACTGTGCCCCAAAGTTGCTCATAACATCAACCACTGGTATGTCTGGCACAGACTCAGTTTTATAGGGGCTGTCGGAATATTGTTGACTTTTGCATATAACAAACAACCAGCTCTTAAACGCTGACTGACCTTGGACCTGTTCGTGCAAGATCCTGATGTCTCACTTCAATGTAGTTCCTGCAGGCGGAGGTGGAGCAATGAAAGGAGAATGTGTCCGTGAACTGCATCATCACTCTCTTGTTACTTCCATACGCCTAAACAATGTAAGGCATACAATCCATATTTACATTCATTAATCGCAGAAATGGATGTCTTACAATGTTTGTAGACTAACATCTAGTCCCTGAAACGAACAAATTTTACAGAAAAAAACAGTTGTTAAATTATAGTTATAAAAAATAATATAAAGGAGCACAGAGACTTTCTTCGCCTGAAACTACAGTAATCTAGACTTGCCAAACATTATAGACTTGCATGGGCTGTATTGGATACATTTGTTTCAGAGTCTGTATGACAGATTACATATTTTGTAAAATACTATTCTCCAGTTTAAATATTATTTAGGTTGCTTGCATCCATTATACTTGCACTGGTGGCTACGTGTGGAATTTTAATGGCGTCATATGTATCTCGCCGCTAATTACCTTGATTCGCCATGTACATTCGGAGTTAGCAGGGTACCCGGAAGTAGCGTAGTTGGGTGATGAGAGAGTCTTCCAGCTTGTTGTAGCAGTCAGGTACTTGGACCCACAGTTTGCTGTAAAGAATACGTATCCTAGTTGATATAAACGCTTTACATTACACATACATGTACATACGAGTAATGAGTTTAACGCCGCTTTGAACAGTATTAGAAAACCAAGCGTAACTGAACGTCTCATCACATGGAGACTTCTCTGCAGATACGGTGAAGCGTTTATAGTTCACAGTATCAGAATTCTCACGGGGGCACGGGTGGCCCAGTCGTCTAAGGCGCCGCGATTCGCTGTGCAGAGTTGCGTCCCCTGGACATGCCAGAAACCTATGATTGTGGGTTCGAATCCCGGTTCACCCCGATTATGTTTCTCGGGGGTTTCTCGACGAGGAACAAATAAATGACGCTTAAAACCGATACATTTTTAAACGATAAATGCTGAGGTTGAATTGGGTTGAATCAATATGCCTGTTCACAATGTTTTAAATAATAGTGAAAATATACATTGTACTATATCGGCGTATCTCGAGATTTAGTGCTGTTCCGGAAACCCTTGTGATCTGTTAATTGCGGGACGCATTTCAAGTGATGTGTATGACTACAAGAAAGTAAGGTTTTGTTTGTTTGCTTACCGCATTCGGCAATATTCCAGCTATATGATGGAGGTCTGTAAATAATCGAGTCTTAACCAGACAATCCAGTGATTGACATCATGAGCATCGATCCACACAATTGGGATACGATGACATGTATGAACCAAGTCAGCTAGCCTGACCACCCGATCCCGTTAGTCGCCTTTTACGACAAGCATAGTCGCCTTTTACGGCAAGCATGGGTTGCTGAAGACCTATACTACCCCGGAATCTTCACGGGTGTATACCCACATTGACTTGCACGTGAATGGGCAGACCACCGGTTGAGTTCAGGCGTATGTTCTTGGTAGCTCTTTCCATCACCTTCAATCTTGCACTTTTAATAGCGCATGCAGGTATATGTTCCGTTTGAAACCCTACTGATTCTTCAATAATGACGCTGGGAATAGCATGAGAACAGTCTGGGGCCTATACTCACCGTTGACAGAAGGTTTCACAACAGTACAGAGTGTTCCAGACCATCCATCCGGGCACTTGCATTTATTACAGTTCTTGGGATTTCTGTACCCGTCATTTCTGCATGAAGACCATGTCAGACCACCACTGCATTTTTCTAAATTAAACAAAAATTGAAAATGAAAGTGCGTCTGATATATGATCTGGAAAGACGTATCATTGAACTTCAAAACCGAATGCATGAATATTGCATAGAAATATATATGCTCGCTATAAAAATTTAATTGCTTTGTATCTCGTGTTCAGCCAGTGTACTACTGTTATCAGATCATATTCAGAAGAGATCTGGAACATGTGTGAATTAAATTGTGCCTTCAAAACAAGTCCCATGAGAATAGAAAGACATTAGAAACTGATGCCATGTTCTAGTTCTATTCTTGGATTTAAATAATTACCTTTAGGAAAACCATTCTACTTACGGTTGCAGTATCTGTAATTGGCAAGTTTCACGTCGAAGAAGGAGAGACCATATCTAGACCCTAATGTCCTATCCATGTCCGATTCTTTGGCGGTGATTGTTTTTTGTCCGTTTTGGGAGAAACTCTGTTAAAGTGATGAAGTTACTTTAAAACCAATAGCGTAATATCGATTAATCATAAAAATGAACACAATCATCGTGGGAATTACTATATACTGGGAGTAAGCAGGTTTATGTACCATCATTTATTAACATTTAACATAGCGACCGACCATTTGTTATTCAGAGTGGAGGCTGGCTTTTTATTGAACAAAAAGAAATTGGCCTCAGGTTAAAAAGAAGAGGTTCGCTAGACATAACGGACATTATGGAAAAACATGTTCAGCTTCCAGAGTTAAAAGTAAAAAGCTTTGAGCTTTGAAGCAGTGACCAAGAAAATCCCCGCCGCAACCCCGACATCCATCCCCCACTCCCCTCTGAAATAATGGGTCCTTTAATACACTAGCGTACATCAAAACTATCGAGGACATCAGATTTATAATAGAAAGCCAATGCTATGTGATTAAGTCACGCACTGGCGACTTGTCAAGATAATTTATTTTCTTTCTTGTCGCAATATTTTATCTATGACTAGGAAATATTAGTGGCCACTCACGTTTGTGCGATAATGCATGACAGATGAATAGTCGTATGGGACGCCGAGGGCAAGAGCTTCCTTCCAGCTCCTCCGTATAAAGTTGTGGCTCTTGCCGGACTTGATGTTAGCAGAGTGGATGTTGACGTACATGTTTCGGTCTGGGCGGGACTGCTCATGCCAAAAGCCTAAAGCATGGCCTATCTCGTGTGCTACTATCCCTTTCTGGAACGAAATGCGTAGGCAGTGGTAAATCTTCTATTAAGACAATAACATGAGGGGTTTAAGCTCTTTGATTTGAAGCATTTGAGGCGGAGCATCATTGTTGTGATGCGGCGTCCCATTTTTTATCGACAGTGTATCTTCTGGTATTTTTGTAAGTTAAACGATTAAGTCGATGATTTATCGATTCTGAAATATCTGATCGATTATTTTCAATTTATGAATATGTGACGAATATGTGAGGTTTTATAACAGTTATGAAAATAAACGATTTCACGATCTGTTTTAGCAGATTTATTCATATAATTGCAAGTTTTTATTGTGGTTTTTTTTTTTAAAATCTTTACATAAGGGATAGTCAAAGAGGTTGTCATAAATGTATGATGTTTGTCTTCGTATTTGTTATCGATCTGCGATTGTCACGTATCAATCTTGAAAAGTTAACACTCACCGTCCCACAACCGTTTCCGATTGAGATGGTTTGACCGAGAAGTTTCTTTCCAACTTTGGACCAACACCTAAACATGCGATATAACAGGAAGAAGATCGTATTAAATGTGTCTACAAGTAACGATATCCAACAATCAACTATTTTAGTGGCGGTTGTTATCCTTATGTATTCAATATACAATATACCCACGAATCTGCTTGCACCTATATACAATATACCAATGAATCTGCTTGCACCTATATACAATATACCAATGAATCTGATTGCACCTTTATACAATATACCAATGAATCTGATTGCACCTATATACAATATACCCACGAATCTGCTTGCACCTATATACCAAAAAACCGTTGAATCTGCTTGAACCTATATTCAATATACCCACGAATCTGCTTGCACCTATATACAAAATACCAATGAATCTGCTTGCACCTTTATACAAAATACCCATGAATCTGCTTGCACCTTTATACAAAATATCCCATAATCTTCCTGTACCTATATACAATATACCCACAAATCTGCTTGCACCTATATACAAAATACCTCCACAAATCTGCTTGCACCTATATACAAAATACCCATGAATCTGCTTGCATCTTTTTACAAAATACCCAATAATCTGTTTACACATGTATACAATATACTCACTAATCTGCTTGCACGTATATAGGTAATACCTATGAATGTGCTTGTGACTACAGAGTATTTAAAAAATACCCACGAATTTCCTTGCACGTACATATAAAATACCCATGAATCTGCTTGCACCTATATATTAAATACCCATTATTATTCTTTCACGTACCCTGACAGTCTCTTGAATTTCAGATGGGGTCCAAAGTAGAAGCCAACTTTGACAAAGTCCAGGCACGTTTCTTCTTCCCAATGTTGTATAGCATCAACTATTGCCTGCTTACTGGTCGCATCTGTAAATGGGGTCATTATGTTTAAATTAATATACATTTAATTGGAATGGCTATTTAAAAGAAACATTATGTGGCGCAAGGAACGAAATTTAATAATAAGAGCATTATAGCAATAATAGCACTGTAGCCAAGAAGGTGCCGGCCTTACATTTTGGCGTTGTGCTCTCTGCTCTCTGTCGTTATGCATTGCCTTGCCTAGTTAATGAAAATAGCCTCATTAAGCATGTAGTTAATACGTTAATATTTGTTTATGTCTTTTAAGTCGAACAATATTCCAGCAGCTCCAGCCTTTGGTTTCTCCATTTTATATCTTTTGAGGTACAATCGAGCATGCTGTTTTAGTACGTTAACTATACTCTTTTACTTGCCTGAGTTAAAATCCGATGTTATTTTGTATCGCACAGTGGTCGGCCATTTTGATGATGACTTGGCCTTGACCTTCCGTTTAACTCTATCTTTGATTGTTGCACCAGACAAGGTGTTACTTGTTAGTGTCGGCCCATTGAGATCAAGTAGTGATGAATCCTCTTCGATTTCCTTCTCAAGTTCATCAACATCTTCGGGGTCCATGACAATGTCATCTTCAAGGTCATCAAGATCTTCAATCGCAAGCGTTGTCTAAAATCGAAGTTTATTGCCACATGACATTTCTCTTTTAAGTGGTTGGTTACATAAGCGAAGTGGATAAATTCTAATGTAAACATCAAAGTATTCGAGTATTATAAAAAATAGCGTCATAATAATCAATTAGTCGGTAAAGCATAGCCTAGTGGTTAAAGCGTTCGCTCATCACGCCGAAGACCCGGGGTCGATTCCCGACATAGTACAATGTGTGAAGCCCATTTCTGATGTCCACCGCCGTGATATTCCTGGAATATTGCTTAAAGTGGCGTAAAACCATCCTCACTCACTCACTCACGTTAACCGGGACCCAGCTTCCTAAGCCCGACCCATGAAGTTCCGGGGTAGAATAGGTCTTCAGAAACCCAAGCTTGCTGTAAAAGGCACGCTTGTGGTTAGAGGCGACTAACGGGATCAGATGGTCAGGCTCGCATGTCATCGATCCCAATTGCGTGGATCGATGCTCATGATGTCAATCACTGGATTGTCTGGTTAAGACTCGATTAATTTACAGACCTCCCGTCATGTAGCTGGAATATTGCTGAGTGTTGCGTTTAACAACAAACAAACCAACCAACCCAGTATCGTCTAGATTAACGAGGTTCCACCGATATATAATGTATAACTTACCAGTCTCTTCTTTTCTCTTCCAGCTAGTTTCTGTTCTATTACAGCAAGTTTAGACACGACGTACAGTCTGTCAGCCAGACTTTCATCCCTTAGAAACCTGTCAAGCTTTTGCTGAGGAAGACATAAAACGAAGTCATTACAAACATGTATACATGTCTGTGCTAGACTAGGGAACAACATTCAGCTTTATAGGATATATTTAGTCATGACCATGTATGAAATTTTAAGACTCATTCGTGTCCTTTTTTATGACTCGTTTGGAGACCGGAGAATCTCCTCATTTTATTGAAAAAAATCTAGACGAACCAAAGGATTGTAGACTTGCTAGTGTGTTCACGGATATGTTTTGTTTCAATATCTGTATCAGAGACTTAGGTATAATTTGTGATCGAATTTAATCGAATTATCTATCATAAATCGTTCACCCATACACTTACTATGTCAACGCTGTTGATCTTGAAAGCTGCTAAATTTACAGGTTTTCCAGCAAAAGTTAGCCGAACGTTCTTTGTCAATTTTGTTAGATTGTTAAAGTTGAATGACTTTCCAACGATTGACTTTGCCTGCGAGCTTACACTAAGTACATCAACTGCTGCTCGTCTCTTCCTCCCATCGGTGGCCTCTTCGTCAGTTTCTTCTTGAGTTTCGTCATCAGGAACGTCGTTTGTCTCTGTTTCTTCGTCATCATTAACATCTTCCGTTTCCTCTGGATCTGTTTCTTCGACATCATTAACATCTTCCGTCTCCTCTGAATCTGTTTCCTCGACATCATTAAGATCTTCCGTCTCCTCTGGATCGTCTACAGTGTCTGCAGCATTGTTGGAACCATCAGACGGTGCGTCTTCATTAGCATTTTCAGCATTTTGTGGAACTTGAGCAACCTCTTCTCCGATACTAGTATTTACAGATTTTCCAAAATCGTTGTTATGTCTCCCGTCGTTACCTATAGGAACGCTCTCAGAATTGGCAAGAGAGACAGCAACCAAAATCAAGGATCCAACAAGAATCCAAGACAGTCTGCTTCCTTCCATGCTTGCATCCACTGCCAACCTAAGTTTGTAATAGCGCCAGGAAGTCGGCGGTCCACTCCCAGCAAGTGTTGTGTGGCATAGGAATCTCTCAAGTTTTATACCCTTGAAAAGGGAAGTTGTTACTTAGTCTATTTCCTTTCCCTTTAGTTATCTTCATCATGATTACATCGTAAGACGTCTTAGCCAATCAAATTCATCAAACGGACTATCCGGGTATTTGCTGTTTTCTGATTGGTTGTTTGCTGACAATGATCTCCAATTATATGCGTTCTTGACATTACCAGTGGGTGTTTGTGAAGACACAATAAGCTCTCTGTCTCGCGGGGTTTCTTAACGCTTGTTTGCTTGCCTTCTGAAGCGAGTCCCATTATTGGTAGCTGTGTATACATCACACTAACGTACGAGGTTCTGGAGCAATCACCACACACATCGGTTGACCTAGCAGGGTGTTCTCAATGCAAATATTGCTACATTATTGATGATTGTGAATGTTAGGTTCACTCGGTGCTATTGACATGAACACACCTTTGAAGCCAGAATGTGTATATAACATCATATTTATGTGGCAAGTTTTAGTTTAATTCAACCAAAATAAGTTGCAATATATTACTGAAATATCCGTTTCGTGTATTTTTATATTTCGTTAGTAACTTTGTGCTATTGCAGAATAGCTTTTCATAATTAAGGTTATCCGAGAAACAGTTTCCACATGCTGTATTATAATATACCTTGAAAACACAGAGAAACATTTATTCCTTGTTTCATGATTTATCTAATGTCAATGTAGTGTCAATCAACGTCAGGCTTTGTCCCATCCGTGATAAAAATGTGGTTTCTCGACAAAATGGCGTGTCTTAGATATACACTGCCCATTGCGTACCTTCGTTAAGCTGACAATATGTCTTTCTGCACACTTTAATTTCTCTGCAGGTTTAAAGGGATTCCTATGCAGTCGTACTATAAGTAATAGTTACACAATAAGAAATAAGTGTGTTAAGGAGCAAGATATTTGATAATTAATTTTGATAAACGTGCATGATTTCAGTTTTGTTAACGTGCATGTCACTGGGTACTGCACATACTAGTGATGAGAATGACATAATATACTTAAACAATTCCGATTGAAAATGTGTTTTCACTTCGTACAGTCATATTCAATAGGAAATTTAACGGAGGTGACTTTGCGATTGTGTAACGATTTATCTATGAATGCTCTGTTTTTAATCAGTTTTCATAAGGTGAACCTGCATGAGCGGGTAATTCATCATTAAGAACGTGTTCACATATATTTGTAATAAAAAAACAATAAACATATGTTACCTTGGTTGACATGTGAAAACAAATTATTTATCATTTTTGCGTTGTCCATATTTTTCATCCATCTATATCCTTAACTATGTTATAAAAATATATTTGAAGACATATTAACGAATGTGTTACTTTCAAAAAAAAATGTATGTAATTAAATGAAAGAAAATGTTATTTCACTATTTAACAGATTTGATTTACAATTTCAACACAATATAAGTTTGCAGATACTTTGATTATTGTGTCTGTAGCTATAGCTATAGCCTGCAGAGTAGAAAGTATTCATATTCAAATTTGCAATGTTATATCTCTTGAATGTTTCAAATCAACCTTGAATAAGTATTTACGCATTGCTCTGGGTGACAAATACAATAATTCGGCATTCTCCCGATCGTTATAGAAATCAACTATCGTGACTTGATAATGTAGACAATGACAATATCTTGCATTCATGTTTGTAAACAATCCGAGTTTAAATAATAAAATTTACAGTTAATAAAGTCGCATACATATTTTAGTTATCGTATCATTACATCGAACAATAACGTCTTGTTATGGGATGTAAACTAGATATTAAATATTCGATTTCCCGTGTTGATTTTCGACAGTTTAGTGAATAAGTATATTTATAGAAAATGAATAGGTCTACACGCTTCGTTCTTTTTAATTGCTCATGGAAGATAAAAAGCAGAAAATGCAATAAAGTAATCATGTTTTTTAACTTGAACTTAATTTCGAAAACGCAAGCGGAAATATAATATATTTTAACCTCTTTTATACTTTGCATTAATACATGTTGAAGACATATTTTTTTCAGAGTTGCGAGTGTGGAAATGAGCTTTTAGCACTTTGAATACGTGTTCACATGACTTGAGATAAGCAACAAGGAAGTATTTCGAAACTAACATCGTTTATTCATATACTACAGCCACAATTAGAATTCATTACATTAGTTCTGTTCGTAAATAAAGGATTAACATCGAAATATATCGTCAGCAATTCAATCTCAAACCTCTTTACAAGGAACGTATTAGTTTTATTACTCCAATGTATAAAGCGTCCATTGATTGTCTAGCGCTCTTCTTATTGGCTGCGTGGTATCCAATCCAATGCACGAACACCTGCGTCATGTAGCCTTCCACGCATGATCGGTTTTGCAATGAACTCTGTTGACAGAAATAGGTGTACATTGTATAGCCATTTGCAGCAGTTACGTCCCTTGTCGCAGTGTTTGCTCAAGAGCTCTGTGGGCGTTGAGTTACAAAATCGCACGGACAAGTCCGATTCACGAGATCACAACATAGTTATTTTTGTCGTTTAAAGACTATCTATTCACACCAAGCAACTGAATCAGCTGGCGTATGGCGACATATAGATACCTGTGGCAGTTATACATTCTGACTTTGGTCTTAGGTTTTGTATTGAAATAAATAATCTGTACCCGAAAATACTGGGGAAAATGTCCTCTGTGTTTGAAGAAAAACATCTTTCACTCGACATTCTGGAAGTTCTGAAAAAGATTATACTGTGGGTCCCAAAATACATGTATGTTTCATTAGAAACACTATTAAACTGTCGGTTCTGTACTAGTCGAGTGTTTTAGCAGTTAAGGTATAATGATAGTCGTCATTGTGTGATATTTATATATCGTTGGTATGTTGGGAATTGGTTTAATTATACTGCTAGGGATTCATCCGAGAAAAGCGGTTGGGTAGCCTAGTGGTTAAAGCCTTCGCTCGTCACGCCGAAGGCCCGAGTTCGATTCCCCACTTGGAAACAATGTGTGCATGTGTCTATATCTGGTAACTCTTGCCGTGAAACTGCTGGAACATTGCAAGAAAATTGATAAAAACGGTGTAAATACACTCACTCCCTGGGTGTGGTGATGCGCAATCCATTCGTTTTTAAATATTATTCATCCTGATGGAAAAAAACATGCAATTAATCATTTGGTGACATGTCAAAAACGATTGGTTGTTTAACTTTCCGCCAATAAGGGTGTGTTGTACATTTTTCTAATTCTGCACCCACTCCCCGCTTGTATTTTTTGTTTTTGTTTAATTAATCTAACGTTTGACTTTGTCAACAAATACGTTTTGTGATACAAGTTGTATATAAATAAAAGCTACAAAGCCCATTCCATATTCATAAGATATCTCTGCTAAAAGCAGAGTCGATCGTGATTCCGACTTCAGTCCTCCCTGATTATAATGCCACCTTTCGCCCAGCGGTAAATATGGCATTATATCTAGGTAGTACTGTATATCCATTTCCAACAAAACGTTTGTACTTTAATGTTTCAAACAAAGACGATTGAGGGAAGTGTTTCCGAAAAGGACAGTATCACAAACATGAAACTTATGTGTTCGTTATTTTAAGGAAGCTGAATGATTTTCTGCGTGAGGATTAGCTGTGAAAGCAACTGAGATCAAGGCACTTAGTTTGTTAATTAGATGAAGGAATTATCTCCAAAAGATTAACTATTTCAATTTGACGTTTAAAAATTACATTATAACCAGGGCAACGGAACGTTTGTCCTGAAAAAACACAATGGTATTAGCATTATACAGAGGGTGGCTTTATAGCCAGGGAATTGTGCACTGCTGAAATCAGTTTAATAGAAACACATGGCATTATACCTCGGCGTGTTAGCTTGATGTTGAAGGAAAGCCGACGTGATAGTAGACATCTCCTTTGATGATGGTTTGACATATCACATTTTTATAATAAGAACATAATCACAGTTCACCTTTAGTACTGGCCGGGGCGGTAACCATAGCTGAACTATGGCTTTCAGATGATTATATCTTATTGTTAGTTTTCAATTCAAAATATCTTAAGTTAGCGGTAATATATCCAAACAATGCACTTTACTGATAGCCTATTTCTGGTGTCCCCCGCCGTGATATTGCTGGAATATTGCTAAAAGCGGCGTAAAATCATACTCACTCACTCACTGATAACATTGACTAAGGGACGAAACTCTGCACGGCAAACTGCGTCGCGTTCTACGACGAGGCCACCACTTACCGGGCACCTGAAGGATGGGTTAGCCTTTGACCTGTATCGGATGGCGCCGCTCGAACAACCATCGAACACATTCCATTGTGTGACTCGTCCGCCCACTATCATATTGCTAGTACATTGCACACAATTGCAACAGACGTATTCATGACTGTGTGTTATCAACGAGAGATCGGCTGACATTTGACATATCCAATTAACAGTTCCTTTCTGCTCATGGCAATTATTAGTATGTACAATTTTCAGTTATATGAGGATTATGTATGCTGCAAGGGCACACCGTTTAAGATTTAAATAATATTAGGTTTTATTATCTATCAAATAGATTGGTATGTTCAAATGATATGATAAATACTCGTGGAGCTCGTTTTTTTTCATTTGATTTCATTTTGCATCAAAATGTTTTGGGTCGATCTTGTGAAAACATCTGCGTTACTTGGTGCTTTCCACCAACATTACGCTGACAAGGTCTATATATTGTTTGTTGTTTACTTGTTGTTTAACGCCACACCCCACAATATTCCAGCTACATGACGGCGGTCTGTAAATAATCGAGTCTTAACCAGACAATCCAGTGATTGACATCATGAGCATCGATCCACGCAACTTGGATACGATGACATGCATCAACCAAGTCAGCGAGCCTGACCACCCGATCCCGTTAGTCGCCTCTTACTACAAGCATAGTCACCTTTTACGGCAAGCATGGGTTGCTGAAGACCTATTCTACCCCGGATCTTGACGGGT